GACTGCTACCAATGTTGTCAAAAGGAGATTCCAACCCAGAATCTTCTGTTCTTTCAAAAGAGGTTGTGTGGGCTGCCATTTTCACTCCAAACTTCTTGTTTTTCTTGCCTTTGTACCAATCTGGATATCCAATTCTTTCAAAACATTGTTCATAGGAATGACCTTCACTTTTGCAATGTCTGCAGTATTTCCTTTCACCTGGTCTTTGTCTTTTGTCATCTCTTTTGTATTGAGATGTCCTAGAAGACTCATTGTTCACCAAGAAGGCTGATGACTCTGGCATACTACGAGTTACATTCCTCTGAGTCTCAATTTGTTGAATAACATAGAAGGCTCTACTCAAAGTAGGTAGTGGTTCTGTTGCTAGCATATTACTACGAACTCCCTCATAGTCATCATTAAGCTTCATCAGGAACTGCATCAATTTGTTCCTGTTTTCAATGGCAGTCCACTTTTCAAGGAAATCACAGTCACACTCCTTTAATTTTCCACATTCACAAGTGGGAAATTTACTCAGCTCCTGCAAGGTTTCCCAATACTTCTTGAGTTTTGTGAAATAAGCCGAAACAGACATGTTACCTTGATGAACTTCATTCAACTCCTTTTGTGTCTGATATATGAGAGGCGCATTGGTATGTCCATATCGTTCTCCAATCTCAGACCATAATTCCTCAGCAGAATTCACATAAAGGAAAGAATCAGAAAGCTCAGGTGTCATAGAATTGAGAATCCAGCATGTTACCATATAATCGGTTCTGATCCAGCGTTGATAATTCACATCTGTGATTGCCGGCTTGGCACAGGTTCCATCAATGAATCCTAGCTTTGATTTAGCCCCTAAAGCCATCGTAATCGTCTTCTTCCACGCGAAGTAGTTGCTTCCAGTGAATTTTGCCGTGGTTAATGCCAATCCTGGATTATCTTGACCCGTGAGACCATACGGATCAAGAGGTTGATTCCCTGTTACTGTTCGACGATCTCCAGCAGAATCCTCCATTGATTCGTCAGAGGATTAGTCGAAGATGATGATACGCTGCAGCGGAAGATCTGATCGGAAGTGATGAACGATCGTAAAGTATCAAGATCCCTTTCGGATCTTCAATTCCGGCTTTGATACCATGTAAAACGCAAGTAGGATAACGAAGAAAGCTTGCGTATTATTGCGTAAATCATCTTACAGAGGGAAAAGAGAAAGTAACCACATATATATACAAGGGAGAATAACGAAAAAGAAGGAGGAAAAAGAGGAACAGAATAACGGATACAGCTGGCTTGAAACAGAAAGTGCCAGCTGTCAAACTAATTAAAATAACAAAATGAAAATATCTTCATATTATCTCGTATCTTCTACACTTCTCAATTAAAAGAGTTGATGAACCAAAATTACAAAATTACAAAATCTAATATTACGTATATTGATTACATAATGTCAAACAGTTGAGGACTAAGAGTGATTTTCCCTTCTACCAGTTAAGTCACGTGATAAGTTTGTTTGTTTCTGAACTTTTAAATAACCATGCACAGGGAGACACTTCATGTTTCTTTTGATAGATGGAAGAATCTTGAAGTACATTGTAACGATGATCAGAGTATCCGTCATTCACATCTTTCCAAGACTGACAGCACAAAGAACAAGCTACCTGAGCTATCTTTTAATCGGCTACAACCAACTGAGGAGTACTATGGACTAAAAAAACGTAGCTTTGGTCGATTTGTTGCTCGGGAGGCCATGCTGGATGAAGAGTATTGGGTTGGATTTTCCCCTTCCTAATATTTACTATTTTCCTCATGTTTGGTTCTCATATTTTAAAAAAATTGAATAAATTTCTTGTCACATTCTCTAATTTTAATGGCAGGCAGCGTCTTGGCTACGAGCAGAAGCTCATTGGGAATCCTTGTCCTTTACTAGGTTATTCGGCCCTCAATTTATTTACATGTCTCTTTTATCTATTGATTTTGCTTGCACACGTTTGCTAGAAACAGCTCACAAGTCCTATAAATATTAATTATCATGCTTTTGTAATCTTATAGGCATGTTGATGCTTATAAAAGAAACTATGCAGAACAGGTGAGTTACTCGATAATGAATCATTTTGTATTTCAGCCAATTAACAAATCATGCATTAATGCTAAATTTAAAAGATCTTTTAAGTCAAACCTTGTTCATGTTTGATGGCAACCTTAGTGAATAACTAATACTTATTGTAGCAGTAAAAGAAAAGAACACTCATTTTTCCATCAAGGCACTAAAAGTAAATGAACTAACCTTTAAGATAGCTCTTTTGCACGGGGTGGGCATATAGAATCGCTAACTTTTCATATACTTACATGGTGTTGGAGCCTTACTGCAATATGTATTGTATGATATTTTTTAAAGTTTGTTGTCGCGAAGTTGTCCTTTCCATCATGTCCTATGGAGCCATAGATTCACTATTTTTTGGCTTTGGAGTATAATGGAGTAAAGCAAAATGGCTCTTTAAACTAAATGTGCTTCTTTCGATAGTGAAATAGCAGTTAGTCAATGCAACTTTCTACGCTCATCATGGGTGATCTCAAAACAGCTGCTCTATGTCTTAAACATAATGGGCGTACATCCGACCCCCCTTACCTCGCAATGGGTGGGAGCCTTTGAGGCACTGGAGTAATGTTGTTGTTGTTGTAGTAAAGTTATCACCCATTGACCATTATTCCATGGTTTGGTCCCTGCAAATATTCTCCTATTGGTTTAGCACCACTTTGGTTGTTGAGAATTTCAATTACTTTGTATCTGAAATGTGAGCTAATGATATGTATCTACTTATATCTTTTCTGGTATCTTCTTGTCATAATAATTGACGCTATTTCGTGGAATGATTTTTTCTTGTTGCATGGTACTTTAGAGTTTAGACTCTATTGTTAAAAACTTGCGGCCTTACTCCAGCTCTTGGTTTATTGATTGTCATGTTTAGTGCTTGATTGGTTTCCCTCTTCCGAGTCGTGAAAATTGAAACGGTTATGTAGTGGCAATGGTTTATAGTATGTTATGAATGGGGTATGATAATAGGTCATTAAAATCTATGAATGAGTCTATGATGATATTTCAATAACTGTTGTCAGTCTGGTAGTTGTATTTAAATATTGCTAATTGAAAAAAGTAAAATACATATTTTATGATACTGTTGTTTGGTTCAAAAGAGTTTTACATAGTTGTTGAGCCTGCCCATCTATTTTGCTGCAATGACTCTATTGTCTACGTGGCTATGCACATGATCTCCCCTCATTATTGGTGAGATGACATGTCTTACAATATGTTGGGGTTGTCTCAATTGAGATTGCAGGAGTTCTATGCTCTAAGGCAAAGATGCTCTGTCCAGGATGGAAGATCACTGAAGTGTTTCTGTTTTGTTACAGTAAGTATCACACAAGTCCTAAATAAGCCTACTTGTACACATATTATTATTCTTCTTCTATTTTAATATGTATCGCATACTCCCTCCATCCCCTTTTTATCAACCTACTTTTCTTCTCAGGTTGTGTCTAAGTAATCAGCTCATTCTCTCTTAAGTGAAAGCGTGTGGTTCATAGTCTCTTTTATGAAAGCGTGTGGTTCATAGTCTTTCATTCTTTTCTAAACACATCTCAACCACAAAATATTCATTTTCTTATTAAACGATGTGGCAAGTGAAACTCAGAACATTAAATGGGGATGGAGGGAGTACTTCTTATGACGATTGACAAAAACTCAGTGTCAGGTTCCCATGAATCTTGTGGGATTTGTTTTGTAGAATCATTGAGAGTGGTAAGATTCTAGTAACTCAGACCTCCCTCCCCCCCCCCCCACCCCCAAAAAAAAAATACATTTCAGGTCAAGAAGGAAGAGAAAAATGTCAGAAGAACTGTACTAAACAGTGTGGTGGGAACATTGGATCTTAGCATTCGGCAATATGTGCAAGGGGAGACCTATCCCGGGGTAGTATCTTTGAAATTTGCATTTATGTGTGGACCCTGGATAGAATGCTTATCTGTGTAACTTGGCAATTTGGGGTTTTGAGATGGTTTATTTTCTCATTGCTACCAGGAAGTGAAACGGCAATCAGGCATCTTTGCACCCTTTGACACCCACAGATATGCTTATATTGCAAACGTTTGTGTCGCAAAGTTTGCTCGCCGTCAGGGTATTGCTTCAAACATGTTGTACTTGGCTACTGAAGTTGCTACGTCAGAAGGTGCTCTAA